TTAGCCCTGCAGAGGACATCATTAGCCTAACATAATGTGAGTACCGCAATCAACACATCAAATCATAATACTGCATGCTAATCAACCAATCCCTGCGCTATTTATCAGTGTCTTGTTCCTTGTCTGAATGATTTATTTGTGATGCTGCTCCAAAGAGATCATTCAATAGCTTGATCATTCGTCTGCTTAGAAGTCGTTTGCGGTCATGAATGAGTAATGCACACAGAATGTTGAGTTTTCTTGTTACGTGTATAGAAAATGGAATTCCAGTATTTTGTATAAATGTTTGGTGCGTGAGAAAAGTAATGTGGCCGGCCTGTATGTGATTCCTTGGTGCCCCTTCCGTGAGGTGCTCTGTGAGATGTCGGAACAAAAACGTTGCAATTACACCATTGTAGGATATGGAACCTTGCAGCAACACCTGGCAGCGGTCAACAGACGTGCAAAGCTGACCATTCATTGGAACTCGATACTTTCCAACAATTTATAAAATCAATTGGCATGCGTGTAAAAGGCATCCCGGGCCGAATGTTGCACTGGTGCAATTTTCAGATTGGTACTCGGGACGGATAACCACACAGAGCACCACGAATGCAAGGCGCAATGGCGTAATCTCTCTTGTTCGTAATGCTGCAACTGCTAATTCCGTTCAGAGAATCAGCTGGTCAACCAATTGAATTGCATTGGTAACACGTTCCGGTCAGCAGCAGCAGCGTTTTTCATTTGGCGGCAGGGCTTCCCCGTCTGCCGACCCGCCGACCCGCCACGTTTGTGGATGCCGGTCGGACCGTCGAGCTGGGCAGCCTCTGGGCTCACCTGTGTCCGAGCTCCGCGTCCAACCGATTTTACATTATTATTCCCACATATATGCAGTGATTGAGCGGAAGCGTTGTCTGCGAATTTGGCGGGAGGCGGTTTGTTTGTCGGACGGGCCGTAATACCGATTGTGGCTTTACGTCTCACCGGCTGCGATTGTGGCTTTACATCTCACCGGCTGCGATTGTGGCTTTATGTCTCACCGGCTGCGATTGTGGCTTTACGTCTCACCGGCTGCGATTGTGGCATATTATCTATATGCCAATATATTTTAATATATTTTCCCCATTTTCTGTAACTTTTGATCTGACCTAAAGTCGTCATATTCTGGAAAAGATGAGTTATGGATTGTGTGTCATCGATTGGTAAAATTTGGTGTTGATCGGTGCGCAGTGATTAAGCGCAGGGCATACCAACAGGTTTTGTCGGTCGTTCAGTCCTTCCCCAGATGAACGTCCGTCAATCTAGCAGCGGAGTAATGTCCAACTGCCAGATGGATGTTCCGGGGCGTCACGATCGCCTCAAAATTTGGTGTGCAGGACGTTCTCGACACGCTGATTCCGAAAACCACTGACTTTGGGATGCGATTTTACGTAACTACCGAGTTATAAGGCGCGTAACACCGCCAGATCGACGTTGCGGGGAGTCTCAATTGCCTCCAATTTTGGTGTCCAGGGCCTTCGCAACACGTTGATTACGAAAATCATTGTCTTTGGGATGGGATTTTGTGTAACCTCCGAGTAACAAAGCGCGTAGCATGGCCAGATCGACGTTGCGGGATGTTTTGTTCGCCTGCAGGTGCAGCGCTTTCCCAATACGCTGATACTGAAAATCGTTGTCTTTGGGTTGGGGTTTTGTGATCTTTGGAATCAGCGCGTTGAGAAGACCCTGCGCACTAAATTTGGAGGCAGTCGAGACGCCCCGCAATATCACACTGGCGTCTTACGCGTGGTGTAACTCGGAAGTTATCGCGTGGTGTAATAACGCGTGGCGTAACTCACAAAATCCCACGCCAGAGACAGTGATTTTTGGAATCAGAGATTGATAAGGACCTGCACACAAAATTTGGAGGCAATCGAGACGCCCCGCAAAGTCGATCTGGCGATGTTACGCGCCTTGTAACTCGGAGGTTACGCAAGATACCACACCAAAGACAGTGATTTTCGGAATCAGCGTGTCGATAAGGTCTTGCACACCAAAGGATGGAGGCGATCGTAATGCCTCGGAATATCCAAATGGCAGTTGGATATCAATTTGCTGCTGTATTGACGGACGTCCCTATTGAACGTTCCTTGACTGGTGCTCTGTTATACACCTTTAGCGCCTCTGTTGCAAACTATTGTGCCTCGAACCCAGGGCTATCTAACGAATCCGCAGTTTTCTCAGCGCGGGAAGTCCTCTGCTGAAATCGGCCAGCAGAGTCGCGGGGCTAGCCAAAGAGGTTGGTTTAGCGGGAAATTAACCGTCATGTGCATTCCGTTTATTCGCGACGATCAGTCCATCAGTTTTAAATGTGGAGCGGTGCTCTAATTGAGCGTTTCGATCAGAGTAAAAACGTCGTGACATTAGTTTTACTGCAACCTGTGTAAGTCGGACTTCAAAAAATACATGCCGCACTTAACATACTCGGTGCGGCAGCAATATCTTGGCAACAACTTCATCACATGCAGAATATCGATATGACAGCTTTGAGTGAGGGCACTGCCACCACCAATTTCAGCTCATAGAGCCTGTTTCAAGGAATTTTGGCATGATAGGTGTGATGAAGGGTTTTTACCTTGGCACCTGTGCTGCTGATGGAGAGAAAAGCTTTGTTGACTGCAGGTGATATTATGTATGTCATGTCTGTCACAATTTGTCTAAGCTGGTCTAAGGCCGAATGGCCATTTAACATTGTTCAGCAAATTTAATTCAAAATCCAACACAGTGCTTTGAGTGGCAGAATCCTGAGAAGAGCATTTGATGATGCAATGACATTTTCAATCAGAAAACAGTAAAATGTGTTTTTTTAAGTTGCATGCAGTGATAAAAGATGGCTTTGTGAAAATTGGAACAAACATGCCCATTTCCCTCCCCCCACCCCAACCCTCACCCCCCACCCCCCACCCCATTGTTACACTCATGGTTATGACACATCACCTATTTCACAGTGTGCGTTCCCCTGTAAGGTTATGGCAAAGCTTGTGAACTAGCTGCTGTATTGTTTCCGTCATTATATTGGGTTTTGCTGCATTGCTGGAAGCCCAGGATAAAAGGAGTATCTTTTTTGTGGTGCTTTTCTCTTTCCAGGATCAGTTGATTTCATTTTCAGAGCATCAATCCTCAGGTAGATTTCTCTTGTTGCATAAGTGCATACTGGTGTTCGGGAGTGTTGCTTTAGCGTGCAATATTTATCCATTTGAAATGCCTGTCCACATGGAATGCTATCAGTGCTTTGCCCATCTTGCTCTAAAATGTTACATGAGAAATGTTTGGAAGTGCTGCACTTATGTTTCTCATGTTTTAAAGCTGTATGTCAGACTCTATTTTGTGTTTTTTACAAATGTATATGTTCAACATTTTTAGTCTGAAATGATGGTACCTTTTTCAGATTGTTGTCATTGAATATTTGTTATGAATATGATGTTCAAATCCAGTCAGTATCACCAGATTTATTGCTGATGAGTATTCATCAATTATACCTGCACATCCTGTTATTTATTTTTGTTGGGCAATATGTACATCATGCATGCCAAGGCACACTCACATGTTATCATAATTTGCTCTAAGCAATATCCAATATGATCTCAGTGAGGCTACCATGCATGGTTTAAGGGAAATATGGTTTTATGCTATCACAGGATGTTGTTGGAGACCTCAGTGTGCAGTCTTAGTACCCCTCCTGGTGACAGACAACATGAGGCCTGGAATCAAATGTTGTTTATGGTAATCCAGACTGGGGGGGGGAGGGCATTGGTATGGTGGTTCCACATACAATTTGTTTCCTTTTGTTGCTTGGGAACTAACATCATATTGATAGTTATCCAAAAAACAATCCATGATTTTAGCTGCTGTTGAAGGGGCATTGCAAATAGTGCAATTGGGGCAAATGTTTTTAATGGCTTACCTCACCATGTTACATGATTGTTAGCAAGGTCCTAAAGAGGCCATCAAATGAGGCAGGGATCTCTTAGGCATCTGGCATCATCAGCACTTGAATGCTCCTGTAAAGACCATAAGAACCACAGTGAAGAGAGCTTTGATAAGATGAGGGAACCTCTGCATGGCAAGGGGTAAGGTAGTGGGCTCCTAAGGTGGTTGTTGCCAATGATCCCATGACAACCATGAATACCTTCAAAAGTAAAAGGCATTCCTGTGTGGTCAGCATTGGCTAAAGGGCCTGAAGATACCAAGGGAAGTACCAGAAACCAAGAAGCCTACATGGCCATCTGGGTACTTGTGACAGCTGGGATGCACTAGTGTGTTCATGTGACTACCAGGCCAAGATGGGAAATCAGGGGAGCTGTGGCAGGGGTGTGTGGGATGGTGCCTTAGTTTTAGTTGGTCCCATGACAGCCCAGGACCCGCGACGCTCTGGGAGCCGGTGTGCTAACACGGATAGTCTCAGTTACTCTCGTGACAAACAGACCCCGCATATGGCATGTTGGGGTCTCCGAACCTGACAACACTTAGCCATCCTTCAGCCCAAAAGTAAATGCCAAACCTGGAGAAGTCCAGGCGCAGCCAAATGCCCAAAGATTCCCCTATCATTGCCAAGGAAAGGTAAGTGATCCTTGTACTGCATGAGAAGACTATCAAAGTTGCAACTCAGTGGCTTTCCATGCTGTCATAAGTCCCTGCTCCATTATCTTGATGATGCATCTGACTCTTGCCCATTCGGATGGCAGTGAGAAGTCGTCGGTTCAGGCCTGACTTTTGCACGCTTTACTCGACCGGTTGCCGCGCACGAATTGGCAGCAGGGGAGAGTGATCGCCTGCGCGGGGGTCTGCCCTGACCTTATGCATGCCCTTGTGTGTGCATCAGAAGTGCACTTCCCACAAAAAGAGACATGGATTTTTTCTCATGGTCAGTGGGCAGTCCTTTGGCTGCTGACGACGGTATGTGAACATGTCTAAGGATATTTTTGGGCACACCCTACGGCGCTCCCTCGTCTCATGTCACGCCTGCGCCCCTCCGTTCTCAGCCCAGCGGTCGCGCACCATGAGCTCCGGTCGTCCGCGTCACCGCGGTCGTCATGGCAACTATGAACGGCGTCATGTGGAGTCGGCTACGCCTCAGGCGGCGTCAGCTGACGCTGCTGAGAGCAGCTCGCCTGTGGTGCAGATGTTCCGCGAGTTCGCCACCCACCTGGACAACAAGCACGACCGCTACGAGCGGCTGGTGAAGAAGAGCAGAGACGTCACCATCGAGAGCAAAAGGATCATTTTCATGCTGCACAGGGTCTCTAAGTGAGTGCAGGTGCCGTGCTGGACGCCCACTTGAGGTGACTGGAATACTGTAGTGCTTCACCAATCGCGCCGTAGCCCGTCGCTGACCCGGCGAGCCGTCCGCCAGGGACGAGCAGAGTGCGGCGCTGCTGGAGGAGGCGGCGCAGCGCTTCCGGCACCTGGAGAACACCGCGCTGCGCGAGATCGCCCAGGAGCTGCGCGGCCAGGACCCGTAAATGTTCATCAGGGCCATCAGTCCAGGTAGGAGATGCATGGGGGCTGTCAGGGCCTGGCACATGCTTGTGTGGGCCGTCGGTTCAGATGCGCCCTCAACGTGCGTTGGGGCTGTCAAGTCAGGTATATGTTCCTCAGGCCAATCAGTCTGAGGTGTGTGTGCTATGACCACTTAGTCGAGGTGGGTGGTCGTTAGAGCCGTAAGGTCCAGCTAGGTGTTGATGACGGCTGGTAGTCCGGGCACGCCGCCGTCCTCTATGCCGCCGCCGTGGTCTGTGGAAGATGCTGGACTCGCTGTCCAGCAGCACTGGATGCCGGGCCCAGGCCCGCCCATCCTGCACTGGCCGTCGTCATCGCAAGGACGTCGGCGGTGAAGCGATGGACAGTCTCATGGGACAGGCCCAGCTGCTCGCTGATCTCATCGGCGGTGGTTCTTCGGTCTTCTTCCGCGAGGGTCTCCGCCCGGGTGGCGTTATCAGCGGTCATCGACGGAGACTGTCGGGCACATGGAAGGGCTTTGAGGTCCTCCCTTCCGCCATTAAAGAGGCTGTTCCACATTTGTATGGGGTCTTGAATTGAGATAATCATTTTCAAGAAAATTCTCTTCAGTTCACAGTTACGTTCTGCTTGTGATCTCAAATGTTCTTGTTTCCCAGCTAGGCGCCCGTAGACTCGGCCGACTATTTTGCGCTTCGTAATTTGAGCGTATTCAGACGTAAATAATATGACGTCATAGAAAACATCACACGTGCTCCCCTCGCACGTGGCCATATTGTGCTCGAGGGTCAACAATTAATTTCGCCATCTCAATATCCGTGTCTATAGGTGACAACAGCATGAGTCGTCTCGCTGGCAGACAGCGGTTGGTTAACAACCATTTTAAGCCGCTATTGCATGCTTCGAGATCGTGAACCACGTGTTGTGATACACACCAACGCAGGTGGTTTTACGAATTTTGGCGGACGTGGGGCTGAGAATCGAATGGCAGAAAAGCGCTGTAACCGATAATGTAAATGCAAGTAGAAAAATATAGCATCACGGAAAATGCACAACACCATGAGATAACACCAAAATACACGCACCTTGCTAAGAAGATAAGCTTGAATGCACAGACGCCAACATCATGATGATCAACGCTCGGTATGCGACAATTGAGTGCTGTCCGCTTGTGGCCATTCTGACACGCCTTATCTGGCAGCAACCCGGACGTCATAAACTCGCTTCATGACGTAAGCAAACGATGACGTACTAGGGAGAACATTTGTTATGTTGGGGACGTGTTTTACTTAGAGCAGCCTTTTCAGTTGAAGCATACCAACAGTTACAAGTTAGCTTTTCCAACATCTTTGATGCTCGCATCCATATTCTCAATTGTCAATTTGAGAAACGGTGCACATACGCACTTGAAACGCCACACATATTTGCAAACTCTGCCTGAACTCGGCGCTGAGGTACTTCAGCTCGCCAGGAATTCCTGGTGAATTTTACTCGCAAGCTTTTCTTGCGCGGGCAGATTCGGTGATTGCGCCCTGTTCTCACTCAGAGAAGTTCATCTCTACCACCTCTTGCAAGTGAGTCTGAAAAGAAGGGCATGATGTAACGCTTGGTGGTGCACGGACCTGTAGCGGTCTAGGTCTATAATTTTGTTCTAAATGCAGCACGTGAAGTGTTATCGAGAGTAGACAAAACAAAAATGACGGTCTTTGCTTTTGAACTGCATCCCGCAAATCCTACGCGCGAAATTTCAGCCAGAATTCGCGCGGTTGACTGTGATGACGTTCACAGTGATAGTAACTGCAAGCGTGTGAAGTTTGTTTGAATGACGCTTTGTTACACATGTGACGTCACCAACCAGAGAACTCATGCACACCGCAAATTGTCGATAGTGAATATGCATGCACGCATGCGTACATACATTTACGCATGTATGTATACATGCATGCATTCATACATGCATGTGGATGAGCATGTACAGCTGTGTAAATACATACAAACAAACATAAAACTTGCGTGCATGCCTGCATTCAAATACGCATGTATAGCTGGCGTTATAGCGGAATGCGCGCCGTGCATTATGTTTTATCTTCTTTTTTACAATTTTGTCAAGTTCCCAAAAAAAATGTTTTGTTGCTCTCGGACCTTGCCAGAAGTATGGCGGTCGTCCTGGAGCTGGGTGATGCTTTGTTTGGCCGGTAATTGCGTGTGTATCATTCTGTAATAGTTCGCAACATTTTCCCGTCTTCGCAACACTTTGTAACCTTTTGCAATAGTTTCCAAAATTCATCTTCAGTAACCATTTCATTCAATGCCAGAGGAGTCCTTATGTGCCCATGTAGCCTGGCCGTCTTGCAAAGAAAGCTGCACTCAGTAATGTGCTGTACCCCGCGCTCCTTTCAGAACCATATACAAGTGCGAGGCTGGCAAAGTCTTTGTTAGACACATAGGTTGCTCAGTGTTCAGGATGGAGGGTGAGGTTAAGACTAGGAACACAATAACAGGAGCCCGTGGAGTGAGTGTTTTTTGTTTGCCTGCTACACTCACCAGACGTGATTCGGGTTACGGTACGGACATCCTGTCTACTTCCCGGTGTTCAAGTTGTCCTGTCATCAACAAACCAGGAAGCCTAGGTAACCGTGGAATTCACGAATAAGGGCCTCCGGGAGGTACTCTTTGGCTCTGACTGGCACTGAAAGCATCTTAGAACCTGTAAAATTAATGTAATTGCACTATTCAGCTCGTTATTAAGCTACTAAAATAAGGAAACGAAAGTCCAGGCAGAGAATAAACTTGCCCACAGCGTAGACAGGCAGCAGGCTCTTTCTCTGTGAAGTGCGGTCCGAAACAATTCAACCTGTGTGCCTGAAATGCGTACTGAATCTGTTAGCGTACAGACCCGTAATCAGGAAGTCAATTCCGTTTCTGACAATGCCCGCAGAATGTTACAACGATCGTGTTCCTAATGATTCATCGACGGCTCGCTGAGTTTGAAAGTAAATAAATGAACAATGGCATTGTGTACTCACATGGCTTACCGGGCTTCCAAGCAGGCTATGTGCGTCGCAAACAACAGTGACGTGTCGAATCACAGAGTCAGTCACTTCCGATTCCAGTTTTTCGTGAAGACTCATGGTTGTTTCTAAATGAGCTAATGGTGATGATGAATGTGCTGCCATGCACGCTATTTTTCATCAGCTTTTTATCAAAACTGCGCATTGCCAACAAATAACTACATGTCCCATCAAAATGTTCGGCTCCAATTATCGATTAAGATTTTTCCATTGGCGGAATGTTATAAGAATAGTTCACAATGTGCATCATCTCTCTCACCAAGCATGCATCAAGGAATGTGCACATCGCAAGTAAACAGCTACGTATCGTATCAGATAAGTTCGCCATTTCTTGCCCTACCTTTCCGGAAGCATTTGGCTAGTCATACAAGTACCAATGAATGGGAATGCACGTTTTTAGGGCAGGTTTATGGAGAACTGCGCGCGCCCTGAAAATAATATAATGTGCTATAAATAATACTGGGTTCCAGCTGACAACTCCGTCTTTCCAAGCCTACTTTTGCGTGCAGAGTCGTGCAGGCTGCGAATTTGGCCGATATACCTCGTCGGGATCTGGATACATAGCTTGATTAGAGTTTGTTTACACTACGTCCATTCCCCGCTTGAATTCCTCGTTTCCTCCGTAATATCACGACTTGCTCATGGGCCTAAGTATTAAAATCTAATTCACAGTTCCTATCTAAGCACACGACGCTTATTGACTTGTACGCCATACAGCTCCTCGTCGCGAT